AGGAAATGTCTTTTTTGGTGGAACTGCTAACAACTCCTGGTCCTCTGAATCATGACAAGGGCACGAAGTCACAAGCCAAATGGCTGGTGTAACTAATACCTACAGCTGACATATAAATGTAGTGCAGTAAAGAATACAGTAGCTCACTGAGTGGAAATATACCATAAAACTAAATGGCAAAGCTCATGCGCTTATAGCACAGTATTGTATTTGAGCAAGTGTATCATTGCTTCTACTGTAAGTATAACATGGAATCGAGACCCAGCAGTGTTCCGAGTCTGTTGCAGTTTTCATTCAGATGAAATCAAAGGAATTATTCTGTAGAGCTGCACCATTCCCCAGACACAGAGAGGACATTCATCCTTGTGTTACTATGATGGACTAATGTTGTGAGACAGTTTGTCAGTGTTTGGCGTGTGTATGTGTGTGTTTATTATCTGCTCATCTGTGGAAAAAATTTGAAGGTGACTTTTGGAAGAAACCATACATCTTTCTTGTTGTTCTCCCATGAGTCTCTTTCTCCTTCTTACCATCAGTTTTGCCTTGCTCTCCTAATTTGTCTTCCTCTCCTCCCTCTGGTTGTTTTGTCTTTTACTCCATATTTTTCTATTTTCTGTTTCTATTTCTGCCCCTCCCCATCTTCCTCCTGTGCAGCACCTACTGCTCTAACTTTGTCCCTCCAAACAAAAGGAGAAAGAATCATAGCTTCTGCATGAAAGCGTGTTGTTATGATGTGAACAGATGTTGCATTTTTTTAAAATCACTTTCACTTGATTTTCTCTAGGTGGAAGTAGTCACTCAATTCCCTCGTTCCTATTTGCCTGACAAGATAAATGACTGTTGCAATCTTATAAAAGCTGAAAGTGAATAATGGTTGCTAGCTTGTTTTTGGTTTGTTAACCTAAAATCTGATCTGAATTATTTGATTTTCTCATGATATCAAGCAGTTATTTTGTGATCATAACTTATTTATCTCACTACCATGTGTTAACAAGACATGATTACAACATAATGGGTCATAAAAAGGTAGTAGCAATCTTACAAATGACTAGTGTAGTACCGGTAGATGGCTTTTATGAGAGGATTTATTCTGAGGTAATTGAAAATGCAACATGATATTCCAGAAAAATCTTAAGACTAGTCAACACTGTCCTTCCCAGAAAAACTGTATCATTCATTATTTGTACCAACACTTGAAACTACCTAAGTTAATGATTTTTTATGACAAGGGTTAGTACTAAAAATAAGGAAACCCCTCTGTAAAAATCCTGAAGTTTGCAGACAACAATCATCAGCCTCATTCAAGACGGTGACAAGTCAGCCTACAGACAGGAAGTTAAACAGCTGGCCCTGTGGTGTGGTTGTAACAACCTGGAGCACATGGAAGACAGTGGAGATGATAGTGGATTTTAGGAGGAGGCCCCCCACCCTATCTCCGCTCACTATACTCAGCAGCACTGAATCAGTAGTAAAGTCCTACAAGTTTCTGGCCTCCACTATCTCGCAGGACCTGAAGTGGACAACCAACATCAGCGCCATAATTAAAAAGCCACAGCAAAGGATGTACTTCCTGCATCAGCACAGGAAGTTCAACCTGCCCCAGGAGCTGCCGATTCAGTTCTATAGGAGAATCATCGAGTCTGTTCTCTGTACTTCCATCTCTGTCTGGTTTGGCTTTGTACTTCCATCTCACAAGTACAGACTCCAGCGGACAGTCAGGACTGCAGAAAAAATCATCAGTGCCAGCCTGGCTTCCATGGAGGACTTGTACACCTTACGGGTCAAAAGCAGGGCAGAGAGGATCACTGCAGACCCCTCACACCCTGGACACAAACTATTTGAACTCCTCCCCTCTGGATGGCGTTACAGGTCTCTGTACAGTGACTTGCACTGCAATTTTTGAGGTGTTATTGTGAAGTTAGTATGTTTTATGTTGTGGACCAACATAGCTTTTATGAATTTTGCTATGAGACTGGGTTGACAAATCCCATACAAAGAGACAGTCTTATAATATGCTAGTCTCTCTCTTAATACCTTCCGAATTATAAATTTAAAAATGAAAGTCCCCAGAAAAATAAGTTCTTTCAGAGAGTGATAACTGAAAAGATGCCACCTGTAAGCCTGTAAACTCAGCACTAGTGTGACAGGAGGATGTGGAGCTACTGCACAGTCATGTTCATATACATTCATACGCTGTATATACAGCTTCTGTGCACGGCACCTTCTCATCAAGCAGGGGCGCCACATATGATAGATAATAGAAAACCGCTTAGTAGCGCTTTCCTCCCCCCCGCTTGCTCCCCCCCCCCCCCCCAATGTGTCATGAATAAATGCCGCCCTGGGGGGCTGCCCAGTTCGCCCATGCCAAAAAACACCACTGTGTACACTGTACACAGTATAACCAGAGGACCTGGAGTCTGTGTGACTATGTAGACATTGTGAAAATGTATTTGTTTATAAGCATTTTCTACTGTAACCACAGCTATGACACACACACAGATAGAGAGAGAGAGATCCCTACACAGGAGATTTGAATCATTTTATTATTGATCATAATGAGGTGGTTTGGATTGCAGTGTGTATTTTGTTTCCACACACCAGATTGAGTAGCTCTTATTAGTTGGCTTTATGTTGCCATGGAGATGGACCCCTGTGTTTGTGTTTTATGGTACTGCAACACAGAAGGAGTTATGAAAGAAATCTGTCATGACTATGCAGGGTTCAAACACTGTTGCATGTGTGGTTTTGTAGATTTGTGTGTGTATGAGTACTTTGTTGTATGAGTGTCAGTGTAAAATTCTCTCCAGGACACAGACTGTGTGTATAGGCATGTGTGCATGTAAATGTAATGTTGGCAAAAAGTCAGATATTTGTTTTGTAAATCTTCCTGATGGTGACATTTATATCACCGTGTGTCAGTGACATAACAGCAATGGACACCTTTATACATGTACATATACATATACATATATATATATACATATACATATACATATACATATACACCTTATACCTGGACTCCAAAATATGGAAACCAAGGAAAAATATAAAGGCTCCACCACTGCAAAAGTTATAAATATGTTTATAAAGGGATTAAATGTGTCCGGGATGACAAGTGCTCAGAAGTTTAATGAGATCAGATTCGGTCTTTGTAATGTTTCTATAATGAAATAACAAATTGAGGAGATTGGATCTTAGTGTTCAGGCAAACAAAACCAAGTAGGGAAAAAACAAAGGCCGAATTAAATTCCAAACAAAACTGAAACAGTCCAATCAGAGTGAACAGTCCAAAAAGTATAGGTGAGAAAAATAATAAAGAAAATCACAACAAGGATATAATTCCAACATGGGGAAAGATCCAAGGAACTAGGCAAAAGGCTGAGTCCAAAATCCAAGCAGAATCCAAAATAGGCAAGTAAATCTAACCACCGGAAAGCACAAGCTAAACTAGGAACACTAGGAACAAGATAGCTTGAACAATTAGGCTAATCTTGCAAAGACATGAGGGAAAACCGATAACATATATACAGTACTATGGAGTAGCTACAGGTGTGATGTGTGTCAGCAGGGTGTGCAGTCACAGGGAACAGAGTGTAAGGGAAGGAATCCAGTGCCATCTAGGGCTGGATGAGGAAATAAGAATTCAAGAGAAGCCCAAGAAGACCAGGAAGACTCAGGGCAGCAGGAAAACACATGGAGCAGCTTAGATATGCGTGTTTTATGATATTGTTAACAAGCTTTTAAAGTAAAAAAAAATCAAGGGTTCAAACTGTAAACTTTGTACCTTAGCAAGTGAAGATTCAGTACATGACAGGGATCTAATGAAGAAACCCTGAACAAGTCATAGAAGCTAAAGGAACAGTGGCTATAGAGGAGAAAGCATCAGGACAGGGCACTTTTTACCTCGAAGATCACCAATGATGTAATAAACACGCACCAATAAACACTAAGGACTCAGTTTTCCAGGAATAAGGCACAGCAATAGTGGCACATATGGGCGTGATCAACAATGGTTTGGTGACCAAAGAGGCAGCACACTTTTGTATGCAGCCAGGTGCTACTGGGCAGGTATTCAGGTGTGATTTCGTCCCAGGCCTTCTGCAGGCCAACAGTGGATGGATTCTTTCCTTTTATGTTCTTCTAAACTGTAACAGTGTAAGCAGTGCACAGTGAGGTTGGACTGACTTTACTAGCGATCTAACATGATTGATAGGGACATATGCAGGGTATTTGCTATTTTTCATGGCTCATGAGCTGCTTTCAAATTATTATGTTGCATCTATGCAATTATGTAACATGGATTTGGAGTCTGATCTGTGATTCCAAAAACACCAATCACAGAGCAGCTGTGGCTGCATCCTGTAAAGACAAATGGTGCACCAACACTACTTGACCATATTCATATCTATAGCCACATACTGAGGGCTATTTACCTTATTTGAAAATAATCTAAATGATCACACTTAGCCTATTTAATAATTCAGATAATTTGACAATAAATCATTCAGAGTAAATTCCAGCAGATCAATAGTGGATTGAAGGGTTAATTTTAAGTTGGTGTGGCCATTTAAAATACGTGTGTACCCGATCTTGTGCTTCCCAGCCTTTGTGTTTGCCAGGAAAATTGCAAATATGCCTGCAGCAGCAATAAGAGATGGTCTGAGCAGGTGTTATTGTTATTTCGGGTCAAAACCAGCACCAGAATTGCACTGCGCTGCCTAATCAGCATACACACGGCCTCAACTGCACCTCTGCTCCCACCTCAGTGTAAGTGCAATCAATCATGGCAGGAAAATACCAAACACACCAATGTGCAACAAAAAGTAAACGTGCCTGAGGAAAATTGCATAAGGACTGTGAAAGATGATTTGCAGGATTTGTGCTGGCAGGAAGATTGAGACATAAGTCTATTAACTTCAAACAAGCTCCTTCTGACATTTTGAAATCAAGTTTTTGACATCTGTCTTACCTCTCTGTCTCTTTCTCATTCTCTCTCTCAGAAACTTGTCCAAGAACCCCATGTTGACCTCGCTGACATGGCAGATCTTTGAACATCTGCAGCTCTTTGAACTGTAAGTTAACCCATGTCTTTATGTCACTTTGTGACAGAAACTTGAATGAGGTTAAATCATTGTATGATGTGTGTTTTGGGAGAGGTGACAGCGGTGCAGTGGGTAGAGCAGTCATCTCTCAACCAGAAGGTTGAAGGTTTAAATCTCAGTGCTGGCAGTCCAAGTGTCCTTGGGCAAGACACTGAACCCCCCCGTTGCCCTTGATGGTTAGAGCCATCAGTTGAGGAGGCACTGCAGATGGCTGCCATCGGTTCTGTACTGGAAACAAATTCCTTGTTACAACATACTTGGCCAATAAAGGTGATTATCCTTTCTATGAAAGAGCTCTCCAACCTGAAAATATATAAAAGATGACACATTTTAATTTTCAGATTTAACCATGCCTTTGTTGAATGAAAACTGGACTTTATAGTTTCTTTAACAACCTGTGAGCTGAGAAAGTGCTGCAGGAAACCATACCAGACATGTTGACAGGATATGATGACCCATATGTGGGTGGTTCAAGAA